AGTTAATACTTTTAATCTTAACAGTACTTTGCGTAAGTATTTTACCACTTAGAAAAGTATTATATATTAGTATTTAAATATTGACAATGTTCTGCGTAAGTATTTTATCACTGGACGAAGTATTACATATCAATATTTAAGTATTGAAATCAATCATAAGGTAGGATTTGTAACATTAAATATTGAAATACTTGAGTACTAAAAGCTGTATTTGAATCACAGAATATTACTAAATACTGTACTTTTAATACTGAAAATAAGTAATTAATCAATGATTCTTTGTATGATTATATCTCTATAAGGACAATCTATACTTGAATAATATACCTGATTGTTGACAGGCATAATTTTAGCCGATGCGAGCAGACGTATTATTTGTTCGGAGTTGAAGTTACTGATCCCAATGCTGCGAGTTAAACCTTGTCTAACACATTCTTCCATTCCTCTCCATGTTTCCAAATAATCAATGTCCGATCCAATGAGTTTCCCACTGCCATCTTCGGGCATGGGAATATTACCTTGCTGAAAGATCAATCATTGTGGTAGATTAAGACGTATTAGATGAAAATTATGTATTAAAAAGTAATGATCTACACCACTTCTACTTTATTGAATTATGATTATAATATGCTCTTGTAGCGTTCAAACAACATTTAATGGCATATTTATTGATAAATGATTAACAAACGACGCAACAACAATCGAAATACGACTAACATTGTTATAATATATAACAGCGAATTGATATGATTGTTCTTAGATTTTCAAATAAATATTATAAGAAACTAAGGCAAATAATAAATTAGCTTAAAAAATACAACATATGAAACAATTCATCCTAATCATAAGAAAAATAATGTTTATCTCTATCTCGTTATTAGAGAATAATTCACACCAGTACTTCATCAAAAGAACCTAATAATAAACTTTGATTATCACTCGCTTAAATTACACTGTAGCATTAATAACCCTATAATTTAAGTACTCAAAATCATTTGTCACTAGTAATAAAACTACTGAGCAATAGTAATTTCAAGCGACACAGTAGTGTCGCGAAACCAAGTGCAAGCGCGAAGTATTGGCGACCTACCGTGTTATATTCTCTATACCGTGGATTTCTCCTTTTTGACTTCAGCTTGAGTACAGATTGCTATGAAAATAGTACGTTCAAATGTATCATATACTGTATGAATACCGAAAATAAAGAAAAAGGAAAACAGAAAGAAAGAAATATAAACAAAAGGAGAATTCGTAAGTTTTTTAAGAATACTTTTTAAATAAAAGTTATCCAGTTTGGTGAAAACAAGGTACTCATATGACACATGATATTATTTGTACATACTATTTTCATAGCAATCTGTGCTCAGAGTGACGTCAGAAAGGAGAAAACTTTATATTTTAATATTAAAACCACTTAAACAATTTATCGTACTATCTGAGAAACATCAACAAACACAGTAACGCTACATCAATATTATAATTTTTTATTTAAAAGTGAGTGTTATTACATATATAACACATGTATGTAACAATTATATTGTTGAGCAAGTATGGGAGCGGTGCACTTGGACACGGTGCATTTGGACACAGCCAATCACAGCACCGTGTGATTAGAGACATTTGTAGGGTCCCTTGGAACAGCGACTTGTGATTGGACTGTGTCCAATTGCCCCGTGTCCAACTGATATACACCCAGCAAGTATATATATTATATCAATTTAACGTTACTTTAAAAATTGGTATTTATTGAATATTCTTCCAGTAAACACTAACTATCAATAACATAGTATCAATGTTATAATTTCTTATTTAAGAATGTAAGTCTTACATAAAACGCGTTATATTCCATTTATATTGTTGAATGGGAAATTATAACATTAATGTTATGTTATTATTAGTTGGTATTTACTGGGTTTGTAAATCTTTATCTATGCATAAAGTGCATTATTATCCTTAAATTCATAAATAAAATATACATCTATGTTCACTCTTCGATAATATTACATTAACATCTTTCTATATAATAAAATAAGAGAAATCGAGTATGAAAGGAAATGATAGGAAATTATAACATTGATATTATGTTACTGGTAGTTGATATTTACTGGAAGAATATTCATTAAATACCAACTTTAAAAGTAATGTTACATCACACACACACACACACACACACACACACACACACACACACACACACACACACATATTGTAGAGTTACTAATACATTGTGTTTGTTTCTGTTTCCTAATTAGCACAATAAATTCATTAAGTGTTCTTAAAGTTTTCTCATTTCTGACGACAGTCTGTGTACAGATTTCTATGAAAATATTATGTACAAATGATATTATGTGCTGTATGGGTATTGAAAATAAAAGAAAAGGATACGATAGGAATGGATAGATTTATTATTTATCCTTTTATTTATTCATTCTCTTACTCATATATTCATCTTGTCTTTTCATCTCGCTCTCTTGTGGTTTCTTCCATCTTAACATTTATTTTCACTTTTCTGTTTCCTCTTTATTTCTTCTCGCACATTTTCTCCTTTCTCCCTTTCTTTTCTTCTCTTTTTCTTTTCCTTCTTCTTTAATCTTCTTATTATTTAATTTAGTTATAAAAAGTAAAAACCACACAAGATATTCAAGTTTTGCATCGTTATATATTTTTATTTTATACATTCGCCGATACTTATCTGATATTATCCTTGTTAATTCCATAAATAAACTTTTCTTCAAAATTATCACGGCAAACACACTTCGCAACTTTTAAAACTATTATAAATTATAACCATTAAATTAAAAATATAACCTCGTTATAACCCCATTCTTGTACGCACGAACTGTCACTCTGCCGCGATGACAGTTATAAGTTGGTAAATCGGTAATCGCAACATTCTCGCTATCCCGCCATCTAACGGAGAAGATATGTGATGGAGAATTTCTGATGAGGAGACGTTTCTCACGCGTAAATTCACGATTTCAGACTTTGAGCTAAAATAGCTCAGCTTCTGGAGCACATAGAGCAAAAATAAAGGCAGTTTTATGATATAATGTAAACCCAAGGAATCGACTAAGTCCCTCCAAAATTTCATCAATTCAACCGTTATAGCCGAAACGAAAATCTAGCCTACATTCAACTAAAGTCGTCGCGTAATATAACACGGTAGGCCGCCAATGCTTCGCGCTTGCACTTGGCTTCGCGACA